AAGATTTTCTGTCTCTTGCTCTGCTCTGGTGAAGACTGATAGCTCAGTGACACACAAGAGGATGTCAATTAGTGATGATCAATCAGAGGGAGAGTTCACTGTCACTATGAAGAAGCTCAGCGTGGAGGATGATGGGTGGTACCAATGTGGGATATCAATTCCTGGAGTTTTCAGTGTTGATGAAACTGCATCTGTGTACATCAGCGTAAGAGGTAAAGAACTACTCAGCGCACTCATAGACTAAATCACATAGCACTAAGTGCTGGTACTGTATCATGGACACTCATCTTTGGTGGTTAGCTAAATAATTACATTATTATTTTGCTTTTTTTCACTTTTCAGAATTAATTTTTGATAATCTAATAGTATTGCAAATGCATTATAAATGAAGTTAGAAATTAAAACATCATCCAAGGCCTATCTGCTGGTCTCCATTGAGCCTCTGAGGTTTGTCTTGTTAGCAATTCAGACACAATAATGTTAAAAGGTGTTTTTGGATCATCTGCCAGTCTGTTTACACACACAGGTGCATCAGCTATATACAGTTGTATGCAAAAGTTTGGGCACCCCTGGCCAAATAACGTGCTTTGTTGATTTTCTAAGTGAAAAGATGTTAACACAACCTCTGCAGCGAACAAACTTAAACGTGACATATTTCTGCAAATATTAATGCACAGTTACTATTTATTTGCTAAATTTAACAGAAAACATTAAACGTGGCATGTGCAAAAGATGATCCACTCGTGTTATATTTTTTGTAAGGCCTCAGAACTTAATTGATGATGTGCTTACACTCAACAACCATGGGCTCCTCTAAGCCGCTGTTTGAGGATCAGAAAATAAAGATGACTGACTCTTACAAAGTGGAGGAAGGCTATAAAAAGATATCTAAATGCTTCCTGCTTGCAATTTCCACTGCTGGAAATGTCATTAAGAAATAGAAGTTAAAGGGAACTGTTTAAGTCTAGACAAGATCTGGAAAACCAAGAAAAAATCTCAGATATAACTACTTGTAGACCGGTCAGAAATGAAAAGCAAAACCCCCCTATCACTGCAAAGGACCTGCAGGAAGGCTTAGCTGGCACAGGCGTAGTGGTGCACAAACATGATCTGCATGGAAGAGTCATCAGAAGAAACCTTACCTGCAATCTCATCACAAACGTCAACGTCTGAAGCATGCAACACAACACTTAGATAAGCCAGATGCATTTTGGGAACCAAGTGCTGTGGTCTGATGAAGTAAAAATTGAACTCTTTGGCTACAATCACCAAAGGTACATTTGGATA